AACTTGAAATCAACAATTCAAAGAGACTTATGCACCCCTATGTTCATAGTAGCATTATTCACAATAGCTAAGATGTGGAAGCAACCCAAGTACCCATTGACTGATGAATGGATAAAGAAGATGTGTTATATATCTACAATGGAATACTATTCAGCCATAAAAAAGACAAAATTCTCCGATTTGCAACAACATGGATGGACCTTAAGGGTATTATGTTAAGTGAGATAAGCCAGACAGAGAAGGACAAACACTGTATGATTTTGTTCATAGGTAGAAAATAAACTAACACATGGACAAAGAGAATAGATCCGTGGTTACCAGAGGGAAAGGGGATTGGGGGGTAGGCATAAGGGGTAAAGGGGCACATGTATATGGTAACTGACAAATAATAACGTACAACTGAAACTATTATGACCTCAATAAAAAAATAAAAAATAATTTTAAAAAATTACAAATCATTAAGAAGTAACTTAGACAATGTTTAAGGAAGTCTCAAGTTCATACACATCTTAAAAGCATTTTTACAGATAAAATGCTTATGGATTATTTAAATTTCATGTGGAAAACAATTCTTGAAAGCTGAGAGGCAGTCAGAGTCAATTTAAAAAAACCTCACTGGACAGGAAAAGGTTATCTTAAATACGGACTCGAAATATAATTTAAGCAAAATTGATTAAAAAAAACGTTTAAATATTAAACCCATGAAATCTTTTTTCTTAAATATTAAAGATACTAGCTAAATGTTACCTTTGTAGAGGGGTTCCCTGATTTCCCAATATGAAGTAACAATTCACATTCTCCCCTTCTTACCACCCTATTATAACTCTGCGTAACAGCCAATTATAATCCTCAGCATAGATCTTAGTACTTTCTGATATTTTGTTTATTTTCATAATTTTTCTACTACTTTATGACCTCCATGAGAGCAAATGATGCATCCCTAGGGCCTAATAGAATGACTGGCATTATAGTAGGTAATCAACCCATTTTTGTTAATAGGTTCGCACTCAGTTTTTGTTCAATGATGAATGAAAGAAAAATTAATACATTGCCCTTTTAAACGTTTCAAAACTGAAACTATTGATAAAATCTTACCTGGGATCCAATAAGTGCTCATATATTTTTATTGCATTGCCTTAAAAAGAAAAATACTCTAAGGTACAACTAAGTTAAAGTCATCTTTAAGATCAGTCCTAAAATTTAATAAAATAAAGTATAACAGTTTTCTGCTTAATTTCAAACGTCATTTTATCTTTACTTTCACAGTAAATCACAACACTTCATGTGAGAGTATAATACAAAAGTTTCCATTTTAACTTCATAGTGCAATAGTCTGTCTAAAATATATGAATCTCTTCACTATCCCTTTGACATCTGGAAAGAGTAACACAATTTGCCAAAAATCAAAACAGAGAAAAAGTGACATTTACATTGTAATCAGAAACTTTCTGACTCTTTTACATTTAATTTCATGCAATCTCTGTTTCACTGTGCTTCTTCTGTCCAAAAATAATGAGGATTTACCAATACATATATATCTGATCTTTACTGGATAAAAACCAGGGCTTGAACTCCCACATCTACAACTCGCTCTTTAAGGCTAGCAAATTTTGTCTTACTGATCTGCGATGCTAGGCGAACATCAGGGAAAAATATCTTGGAGTCTTCACAGTTAGAGTGTTTCTTTTAACTCATGGCTGCAATTAGAAATCTATCCCCATCATTATGGTCAGATAACATGGCAGTTATGGTTTCCCTGCTCTTGTCTTTGCAAGTGGGTTTTAAAGAGGCTCTCTGGAAAAGCATTCTACATAAATACAGTTATGATGTCCAGAAGCAAGGGCCTAAATTGAAAAACCCACAAGATTGAAGCTTTTACCAAGATACCAAAAATACAGATACTGTTCTGTTTATTTGTTTAATAAACTGATTCTATCCACACCACAAAGTATTTGCAATGTTTGTTTAGAAGTTGAACAATTCTATTTAAGTTTTCTGACAATTCCATGTTTCTTTTCCTATCCCTTGATTATTACTGAAATGCAGACACTCAACCTCAATTCGAAGAAAACTAGTTTTTCTAAATTGAGAAGATTAAAAATTTATACGGGTATTTTCTACATTCTTTGCCAACATATAAATTCTTACATACAGTGACCAAAAAAAAGTTTGACTAGAATATTCTGGTAAATATATCATTTAACTGATGATTTTTCTTTTTGGGCCTTTATTGTATTTTTCTCTTTATTACTTCAGAATTTCTAAAGCAATAGTTTAGCACCTTAAGAAAAATAAAATGAAGTAAAATAAAATAAGGAAACAAAAATATTGTTTCTTAAATTCATTCCATTAACCTACTTGAGGACTCTGGTGCAGCATTAGTAAGTATATTTGATGATCAAATATATCTTTGCAGGACTGAGCCCAAAAAGTCACTTTGGAATTTTAATAGAAATATATTGTCTTCCAAAAATACTTTGTAAAAAGAAAAATTAGGAGACTCCCAAGTAACAGAAAAATGGCCAAGGATGGCTCCTGCTTTAATAGTCCTCACAAAATCTAATCCATCAGCTAACCAGTAGACAAAATTCTCTTAGAAAATACAATCCAGGAAGGCAAATTACAAAAAATAAAGGATTAACACAATGAAACTATCATTTTTGAAATAAGAAAACTATATGCTTACAGTGAAGACATCAGTTTCTATATACTATAATCCTTTTTCATGGATATCCCTTTAAAATAATGTTTTATATCTGTAAGCCAAAATTCTAAAAGCTTAGGTCATTTCACACGTACAAATTAGTTCATTCCTCTTAATTAAAAGGTACAATAACAATTATTGTTTCCTCCCTGTAAAGCCTGTGAGATAGATCAAAGAGAAGAGATCTGTAAGTGACCTCTCCTCTTGACGTATGAATGTAATTCTTAAATACCACTGAGAAAAGACCAGACAATTTGGTAAGCACTTTGTCAAGATGTAGGGCAGGAGGGAAAACCAAGGAGAATTTAAGTGAAGAAGTAATTTCAAGCAAGAGAAAATAGTTACAAATCACTAAAGGAACCACATCTAGGCAGGAAACATTCAAAGGTGGGCTTGGGATATTTTCTGACACCAGAAAAGAGGGAAGTGCTCAAAAGTTTAACAGGGCACATAAAAGAGACACAGAAACCAGCCTGAAGGGGATCCCTCTATTTTAGCAAAGATTAATAACTGTAACTGATTTCAAAACTGTGAATAAATAAAACCCGTGAGTCCATAGCAATATATACACACATGAAAAAGAAAAAGATAAATAGAAAAAAATATCTACTTTGCCTCCTATGTTATAAATAACTATAACACCAACTCCTAAACTGCTAATTAGAGAGAAAGAATTAAGTAGTCATCCTGCCATTTTTAGGGAACTGTACTTCATCCTAATTGATAAGATAATGCTCTTCTTTATTGAGAAATGGCAGCTAACTAGTGTAAAGACATAATAGAGTTAGAAACTCACCATTCTGCAAACTCTAAAGAAATAATTGATTCAGACAAGGATCATCAACACATGCACAAAACCATTGAGTGAAAGGTTGTTGGGAAACAGGATGTTTCTACAGTGGCAAAGCGTCACTGCACAGATCTTTGCTGACAGCAAAGGGAAAACTACATCTTTATACTGAAGAGACCTGGCAAGTCAGGACAACTTGAGTTTATGTCTCTTGATGTGATATAAAATGAAATACTCAGAATCATTTATGCAGTATTTGTTACAAAATGCTAAAACTCCATCTAAGCCAGCTTTTACATATAACTTCCAGTTTATTCAAAATAGAGGAACAAGTTAAATACCAGTCAGAATTAACTGGATAAGTAAGAAGGAAAAAAAAAAGACTGATGGGACTTCTTCTAGATTTTTAAGAGTCTAAAGAGACATACAACCCATTTGGGGGACAAATGGAGAAATGTGAATAGGGAAGATAATAAATTATAACAGGGAATACTCAAATTTTCTTATATATGATAATGATATTGTGGTTATGTCCTTATTTTCAGGAAATGATATGCTGAAAAATTTTGGAGACTAAGTGTCACAATGTCAGCAACTTAACTTTCAAATAGGAGAGAAACAATATTAGATGCAGATATAAAGCACATTGTTAAGTCTAGGAAGTAGGTATACAGGTATTTATCTGAGGGTAGTGATAAACTATATTTTTACCAATGGTATCTGTACAGCATAGGACTTATGGGAGAATCTGCCTTAGCAATGTTTTCTGAAAGATGAAGGTAATTCATCAAATGTGTTAACTTACTGGAGCAGTTAGATTTGGAAGTAGGCATATTCTGGACATTTTATATACCACCTTTTAGATATGTTGAATGTAATTTTACTGCTTTTTCCAGTACTCTTAAACTTTCATCTTGTCAATGGTGATTTTATTAACCATGGAAACTTTCATAAACATAACTCCTGTGGTTAGTGAGTGATTACTCTATTTAAGTACCTAGCATTGTGTTCAACTGAAGGTAAATTATATTAGACCAAATCTGTACTTGGCATTACTTTTTTGTAGTTTGTCTGCACAACAAATCCTGTTATCAAACTCATAATGCATAGTTATTCAACCGCAAAGGGTACAGAACAGATTTTCAATGGTTTCAATTTCAATTTCAACCCCCCAAGAATCAACCATTTAAAACAGTTACTGTGAAGTTTACCAAATACAAAGATTCAAAGAACTCTCTGAACCCGGACCTTCGACTACTTTTCTGATACTTAGAGTGATACCTATTTTTGCACAGTGCCTGTTACCTTGGCCCAAAACCGTGAAGAAACTAATTATTATCATGCTCTCGTCAGTCTCCAAAGTATTACTCTTTGCAAATATAGTTTTATTTAAATGAATCAAAACTTTTAAAAATTATAAAAATAGTAACTGTAACGTATGATCAAATTCATAGTGATTTGAAGAGGATCATATCCTGCTTTAATTTACTCACAATTTATCAATACCTTTTCATTATCCTGGTTGTGTTTACTCATTGGTGATGTCGGTACATGAAGATCGGTTTCATCATCTACGGCATGCTGTCTGCCAGACAGAAAATCCGATAGTTGACTCTGTAGAAAATACAGGATATTACTAATAAAATGCTATGCCAACTATGAAAAATATTTCACACCTAGTTCTACTTAGTGTCACTGATGTTCCAGTGTATAGCGTGTCACCTGACCTCTGTTGGCAGTAAATAAGCAGACATGGAATTAAACTTCCTAACAAAATGCTTTAATTTGTTTCCAATGGCACCTGAACTCACAGAGTTTTACAAGTTTAGAATTAAAAGATGATCTTAGAAATTTAATCTGAGCCTTTTATTTTTATGGAAGAAGAAAATTAAAGACAAGGAAAAGTCTTACCTAAGGCCCACAATAAATGCTTCATTTTTGTAATATATGTAAGTAAAGCTAGTGTCCTAAGCAGTACAATATTTCAAAAAAAATAAGTTTCCATGAAAATATAATTTATAAAGAGATATTTGCTTTCACTCTCCCATACTACTTAACATGTCAACATTATTTCATTTATTCTAAGGGATCTAAGACTATATAAGTACACACACACACCACGACTCCTGAGGTACACCACTTACCTCCTAGAGGTAAGGCACAAACTGAATTAACAAAGCCCAATGAGATTGCAAACCACTCTTCCTCTCAGCTATTGCAAAGTTATAACTAAAATCACTCACCAATATATACTTCTTAAAAAGTAATAGTGTTCTCAACAACTCTAATGACATGATGAGCTGGTACTTGTAAGGAGTCAATTGTAAAAGAAAAGAAAAAAAACTAGAAAGCCTAGGATTTTTCAATCTCAAAATTCAAGATCACTAAAAAAAGAATTACTATCTAACAAATTTTGAAAAGAGGTAGTCCTTACACTTGTGATTCTTATGGTTTTAAAAGAGATGGTGAAAGCAAAGATTTATTTTTCCACAAATACAATGTTATCCTAAAAAATGGGAGAATATTACCTGCTGGTTAAAAACTGTTTATATACTTAATTACACATAAAGTACATTATTCTAGATCAGATCAGTGGGTCTCAAAAGTGTGGTCCCAGGACTCCTGAGGTCCCTAGGATCCATTCAGTGTATCCTGGAAGTCCTTCTTTTTCCAACTATGTATCAATGTGAATCCAAATTTTCTTGATATTCTTCAGTCAAAACAACATATCAAACAGAAGCAGACATGAGAATCTAGCTATTTTCTAACATAAATGACATCAAAGATATTTGTAAAAATGTAAAACAATGTTACCATTCTCACATTTTTTTATTTTCAGAAAATATAGTTATTCATCATAAATAATGTTATTTATATTAACATGTAATAAGTTTATTATCAGTATTTTTAATAATTGAAATATTTTAAACATCTCTCAATTTTAATTTTTAATAAGCTAAATATCAATAGATATAAAAAACATAAACAAAATCTCCTTGTAATCCTAAATAATTTTTAAGTGTAAAGAGGTTCCTAGACCTAAAAATTTGACAAAGACTCTACATAATATAGCATAAAGCTTTCTCAAGTAAGAATAAAAATTGCAATATATGTGCTGTGATATACTATTATTTTTACTGATTTGATAAGTTGCTACTCATTCTATTTTTATCCTCTTACTAACTTGGAAGATATACTATATTTTTCAATCTCATTAATGGTTACCTTCACTTTCCCTGTTCTCAAATCACACTTGTATTTCTCTATTATTATTTAAAAGTGATAATGCCTGCTACTTACCCCCAACAAACGACAATAGTTAGCAGTTTTCATTCTAAACTAGTATCAGAATCTCCTTTAGTGTAAGCCTTCCATCTTAGCACACATATTCCCGGTCCATCCTTATCATTTTAACTCCAAGTTTTATTGCTCACTACGATCTTCCCCTAGATAGATATCTGTTTCATTATTACAGCCTTTGGAAAGACAAGTTCTTCACATGAGGTATGAAGATGACATTCTTTAAGTTTTTGTGCATCCTCACAAATCCTTCCTTTAACACGGCTGATAAACGATATCTTGGTTGAGGATGACATTCTTAGCTTGCTGTCCTCTTCTTTCAGGACAGGCTTTTTAATTTTTGGCTCTTTTTAAATAACTTGCTCTTTCTGCCAGGAAACTTATAATATTTACCTTTATCCTTAAGAGTTCTGGAATTTTACCAGGATATGCCTAGGTATGGGTCTTTTCTCATCAATACAGCCTGGAACTTCATGAACATTCTTAATCAGCAGGCTCAGAGAAATATCCATTATAACAAATATATTATTTATTTAATCATGGTCTCTTCTGCACCTGCTCCTTTTGGGACTCCTATCATTTACATGTTAAACCCTCTAGATCTAAGCTTCAAGTTTCTTAACTTTTCCCTCATGATTTATTTTTTTTCCTGTGCTTTAAATATTTATTGATGTGACTTTCAGGATACTAGTTTGGGTCTGAATTCATCTGTTGCATTAGGCAAACTTTTCTTTCTTCCTTTTTTAAGATCTAGAAAGTCTTATGTTTAGATGTCTCCTTGCATTTCCTTAAGTACTTATTATTTTTATGGATTCAAGTTGTTGTCATTCCCCTCTAGCTCTATTTTGTTGGGCATGTGTGTTCTCAGCTGACTCATCTTTCTCTGGCTACTGGGACTCCTTAAATGGCTGCTGTTTTTCTTCATTGGCGTTTTGCAGCTCAGCTCTGACTGTTGAGGTACCCTAAGTGATGACAGTTCTACAAGTAATGGAAGTTAAAATGGTCTCTACTCTTTATGGAGCAGCAGTGGAGAAGTAAACAGGCTGCCAGTCACCTGCTTAGACCAAGAAGAAGTCTTCTGGTCTCTCAAGCCCCACCAACAGTAAGCCCATCCATTCAGTTACTTCTTGGCCTCTTGAGAGTCAGGGAATCCTGGCATACTCACAGAGGGCATTTGTTGACCCTCCCCAGAAAGTCCCCAGATCTCTGGGAGCCGCTAAGTTCTTCTGAGGATCTACCTTTTCTGCTCCTCATCCCAGGTCTCCGATGTTGTCCTCCAGATAATTGCTCAGTTCATGCGAAAGCAAGTGCTATAAATTCTACTTAGACTCCAGTTAGAATCCAAGGCCAGGGGCCGGCCCGGTGGCGCAGTGGTTGAGTGTGCACGTTCCACTTCTCAGTGGCCCGGGGTTTGCCAGCCGGGATCCCGGGTGCGGACATGGTACTGCTTGGCACACCATGCTGTGGTAGGCATCCCACATATAAAGTAGAGGAAGATGGGCACAGATGTTAGCTTAGGGCCAGGCTTCCTCAGCAAAAAAGAGGAGGACTGGCAGTAGTTAGCTCAGGGCTAATCTTCCTCAAAAAAAAAAAAAGGAATCCAAGGCCATATATGCTCCCAGATGCACATGGGCCCTGTATCCCTGTTCCTCAGGAGAGGAATTATAAAGTGGAAACAAAGGAGAAAGGGACATTGTTCAAGTTATCATGTTCCCCAGAACTTCCTATCTTATCTTTGTCTTAATTCCTTATAATTCCTGCCTTATTTAGGCTACAATAAATAAGAAACCTTATCAGGATCATAAAATTTCAGGATTCTGAAATTTGGTGCATTTTTGAGAAATTGATCGCGGGATACATTTTGCTGCTCACTTTTTCCTCACTGGAAATTTCCCTAGAGCAAACGTAAGTATCAGAGATCAAGTTGTTAGTCTCCCAGATTTAAAATGCACAAAACTTTCTACTTCATATAATACCATCTCAGGAGCTGCCACTTCACTCCTGATGTTCTGCAGACAAGGCACAGTGATATTTGGAGACACAGAACTCCCTCAAAAGTAGACCCTTCTATATCTCATAATATAAGTTGACTCACTTAAATGAAGAGACTTATTAGACGACTTGACATTCTGTCTCTCCATATTCTGTCCTGACAGTGACTTCTGGTCCACAATACAGGTTACGTATCAGGACACTCCAGGGCTGAGCACGTCCATTTCTTTTAGAGCAGCCCACAGCTTTTCATGATCCACACAGTCAAAGGCTTTACTGTAGTCTATAAAACATGGACTAAGCTTCTTCTGAAATTCTTTGGAGCACTCTAGTAGCCAATGAATAATTGCAACTAGATCCTGTGTGCTTCTCACTTTTCAAAATCCAGCTTGGACATCGGGCATTTGTTGCTCCATATACGGCAAAAGCCTTTGTTGCAGCACCTTCAGGATCATCTTACTTGCATGGGAAATTAGAGCAATGGTGCTGGAGTCACTGTGCTCCTTGGCATCTCTTTTCCTATTGAGCATTTCCAGTCTGTAGGCCATGGTTTATTTTCCATATTTGTTGCCATATTCTCGTTAGGATTTAGACAGATTCAGTCTCTGTGGCTTGAAATAATTCCACCAATATCCCATCTACCCCTGGTGACTTATTTCTTTCCAGTACTTTCAGGGCAGCTTTCACTTCACTTTCTAAAATTATGGGTTCTTCTTCATAGGGTTCTTCTTCAAAGGAATTGTCATCCTTTTGTCTCTTCTGCATAGATCTTCAGTATACTTTCTCCACCTTCCCTTTATTTTCTCCTGATCAGATATGTGCTTCCCTGTTCGTTATTCAGCATTCCAAATCTAAGCTTAAATTTCCCTTTGATTTCTTGAATCTTCTGGAAGAGACCTCTTATTCTTCCTTTGCTGCTGTTTTCCTCTATCTCTTTACATTGGCCATTATAGTAGTTCTCTCTAGCCTTAAGCAATAGTCACTGAAAAACTGCATTCAGGATAGGATTCCAACCCTTCACATTCTTCCTTAACACTATTTCTGGTTTCAGTCCATAGTTTTTCTGGTTCTCGGTCAATAAGTTTAACAATGCAAATCTGTTTTTATGTGGACTCTAAATTCATCAAGAATGTTGTTTGCATTATATTTTGGCACTATAATTCTTTTAGGGCCAATATCAACAATCTAAGATATGCAGATGACACTCTTTTACTAGCAGAAAGCAGCAATGACTCGAGACGACTTCTGACAAAAGTGAAAGAAGTGCCGAAGCAGGACTGCATTTGAAGATCAAGACAAAAATCATGGCTACAGAAGATCTACACAACTTAAACACAGACAGCGAAGACACTGAAATATTAAAGATCTTGTTTACCTTGGTTCAGTCATCAATTTAAATGGAGACTGCAGCCAAGAAATCAAGAGAAGACTGAGACTTGGAAGGGCAGCAACGAAAGAATTAGGAAAGATGATCAAGTGTAAGCAAGTGTCACTAGAGACTAAGGCCAAGATTATCCACACCCTCTTATTTCCAATTACTATGTACAAGCATACAAGCTGGACAGTGAAGAAGGCTGACAAGAAAAAAACTGATTCCTCTGAAATACAGTCTTGGAGGAGAGCTCTACAGATATCCTGCCAGAAAGACGAACAAGTGGGTCCTAGAGCAAGCAAATCGTCTGAACTATCGCTGCAGGCAAAAACGATAAGACTGAGGCTGTCCTACTCTGGGCACACCAAGAGAAGGCAGGATTCTTTGGAAAAGACAATAATGCTGGGAAAAGCAGAAGGCAGCAGTTAAGGAGGAAAACCAAATATGAGATGGATTGACTCCATAAAGGAAGCCATAGGAATGAGTCTACAGCAGCTGAGTAGGCTCGTAAGGACAGGACGCTACTCAGTTATAGGGTTGCCTGCGATCGGAGTTGACGTGACAGCATGTAACAAATTAGAGGACTCAGACGGGGCAAACGATAAGATCAAAACAATGTGCCCACAAGACTTCAAGCATATTATACTCTCAAGGGCTTATCAGAAGATTTTTATCATTCCTACAATCCAATACTGATGCTTGATTCGCCTCTCTAACTTTGTGAAAAGTAGTCAAAAATCATCTCCACACGCAAGCAAATAAAATATAGCTAGGAAGGAAAAAAAACTATCTTCACTCACAAGTATCCTTACCACAGTGAGGGTGTGCATGTGTGGGTATGCTTGTACACACATGCATGTGTTTTGAGAAAGTTACAAAAAGGCAAATGTTTCCACGATAGCCCAATGAGGCAAAGAGAGCAAACTGCCTGCCAATATCCACCCTCCCCTTCTTCCTTAGTAACACAGCTTTTGTTTTCACTCTGGCATGCTACTATCCAGAATAAAGACCACACCCTCCAGCCTCCCTAGCATCATCTTGGTGTAGCCATGAGAGTAAGCTTTGGGCAATGAGATGGAAGCACAAGAGCTATCTCTCGCTCTCTTTCTAATTATTTTATTGAGGTCATATCGGCTGATAACATTGTATAAATTTCAGAGGTACATTATATCATTTTCTGTATAGACTGCATCATGTTCACCACTAATAGTCTAGTTTTTATCTGTCACCATACATATGGGCCCCTTTACCCCTTTCGCCCTCCACCCAACCCCTTCCCTCTAGTAACGACTGATCTGTTCTCCTTATCCTTGCGTTTGTTTTATCTTCCACATACGAGTGAAATCATAAGATGTTACTCTTTGTCTGGCTTATTTCGCTTAACATAATACCTTCAAGGTCCATCCATGTTGTCACAAACGGCACAATTTTGTCTTTTTTTACTGCTGAGTAGTATTCCATTGTGTATATATACCAATCTTCTTTATCCTTTCATCCATAGACGGGCACTTGGGTTGCTTCCACATTTTGGCTATTGTGAATAATGCTGCGATGAACATAGGGATGCATAGATCTCTTTGTATTGTTGATTTCACGTTCTCTGGATAAATACCCAGGAGTGGGATAGAAGAATCATATGGTATTTCTATTTTTAATTTTTTGAGAAATCTCTACACTGTTTTCCATAGTAGGTCTATCAGTTTGCATTCCCACCAACAGCGTATGAGGGTTCCCTTTTCTCCACATCCTCTCCAACGTTTGTTATTTCTTGTCTTATTACTTATAGCCATTCTGACGGGTGTAAGGTGATATCTATATCTCTTTAAAAGGAAGGGAGAGTGCTGTGCTCCATTACTACCTCTTGCTGCAAGGAATGCTAATATAATGTCTGCAGCTCCAACAGCGACCTTGGACCACAAATGGTCTTGAGGGTAGAGGTCAAGAACTAAGAGCAAGAGCAGAATGAGAGAAAACTCCTAAGTATGTGATAACTACGGAGTTGTCATATCAGTCCTGGATGCTTTCCCTTAGACGTCTTTTATAAAAGAGTGAAATAAACTTCCATTTTCTTAAACCACTGTTACTGTGGAGGTTTCTGTAATAAGCAGTCAAAACACTATTCCCAAGTATCAGGTAGAAATGCTTATAAAATATTTTAATATCTTAGAAAATTCACTAAACATTTTCTTCTAATTACAGCTACAATTATTACCACTATTTAATGACTACTTTATTGGCTCTCAGTAAATGTTAAGATGAAGAAAAATATTTTCAACACTTTAAAACAAACTAGATATATCTAAGTATATTCTAAAACAGTTTATTAATTCTAATGAAGACAAAACCAAACTACAAGGGATGCTATCCCATTAATTTTAAAATTTACACCCCATAAAAAAATAAGGCAATGAATATGTGTTCAAAAAAAGGAACAGTGTATTATTACTGTTGTAATAATGTATATTGCATCATACTATCCTCACAAAATGATATCCTCATCTCAGTACAATATTATTAATCCACGGAAAGAGTCATAGCAATCATTTATACACCACATACCAAATTGAACAGATGCACATTAAACCAAAAGAGTAAAACAGAGAAACAATCCTTGATATAATTCAAAAAGAAATCACATATTTGGGGCTGATTTCTTTGTTAACTTTTTTTGATCTAAGAAGAAGCTGTTCTTATATTTCAGCCAAATAATAATAACACAAGTTTAACAAAATTTACCACCTAAATATTTCTTGCAAGTCATAACTAGGTTTCAGGTAGCTAAATTTTCCATTATTAACATGATCTAAAAGGCAAAAGCATTATCAAGTTACCATAAATGCTGATACCATAGTTTAAAATAAATCTAGCCAAATTTTAATTTGATTAAGATAGAATTGTTTAAAAAAATACTTACAGGAGATATGTTGGCATTATTTTCACAATTGGAAGTCAAAACACTCCATTTTTGATAAACATCAATCAGATCTAACATATTACTATTCTTTAAGAAATCTTCATAAGTCCTCCTAATGTCCTCATAATGGTCAATCACTGCCATATTTTCAACTGGTAAATTCAATTTCTCATGTAGTAAGTATTTCCAAGTCAATAAGACGTCACTGAGACAGACTGTAAATTCTCCACTGCGCTAAAAGACATAATACCAAAAATAAAAAGATAAAGTTGGATGCCAGAATACACATTCACTTACAATTAAGATGAGAAGTATAAACTGAATTTTGTTACAGAAAGTCTACATTTAATTCTTGTGGATTTGAAGAGAACATCCAAGTTGAGCTACGAAATAATTTTAAAACAAGATACAAAAGAAAGAGATTTTAATGTTTTATAAAATATGAACAACTATGGCAAGTCTGCACTTGACAGTCACATGAAATCTCTTATTTCTCGAACTTCATTAATTTCTCCTACTCAAAGTGGGGAGATGAGTAGCAGTGAGCTGTATTTAGGTACTACTCAATGGGGAAACATTTGACTCTGTTAATATTTAGTTCCTTGTAGCTACTATATTTTTAATCCCTCATTTAAAATCATCAAAGCCATAGTGAATTGCCACATACCACACTATTCCAAGTGTTAGTCTTAAAATATGATCATAAAAATTATGCTTCATTTTATTACCATGTGAGGGAAAGCAGAATATCAGTGCTAAAACCTTGGGTGAGAGAAGAATTTTGATTCTTCCGTCCTCATGGACACACTAAACTGTAACAAACAAGTGCTAAAAAGCCATAGTTAGGTTTCTTTCTATAAGTTGTCAGATGTTACTAATCAGGCAAAATTGTTCTTTTTGTCTCTTCTTCAATATCCACATGATAAATTATCTCAGTAGACATGTTAAAGGGTTTTCTTTTAGTTGATTGCATTCTGTTCCCACTTACTATCTGAGATATTAATAATGGTGTCTTCCAAAATAAGCTAGCCCTAATTCAGTAAAAAGTTCTAACTACTCCTTTCCAATGCAGCATAAGTAACAAATATTTTTAAGTATCCATATGTGGTTTTGTGAAATGTATTATGTCGTTCTCTTCTCATATTAAGTTCCATTAATATGTTAGCATTTTCTGCTAACACCAAGACCTTTCCATTAACTGCATTTAAAGATGGGTGGGTATTTAAATATAACTATAATTCACTGGAACTAAACTGCAACATCATCTTTAGCCAATGAAGAATAACAGAAAGAAATCAAACAGAGCCAAATAATATACCATTTTCTACATACCTGACTCTTCCAAATCTATATCTTTTATAAAAATCAGCCACATTTTCTAGTTCCTATCCAAATTTAAGACAAGGTATCCAAACTGCCTTAAAATAATTAACTCTTTACTCATCCATATGGAGGTAACTAAGAAAATTATCCTTACTGTCCTTAGAGAAGGGACTTGTGATATTCTAATTATGAAAATTAATTATATTCCATGAAACTAGTTCAATGAACAACCAAAAAAACCAGTAACTCTCAAACCTTGGATCCATATAGATTTGTAATTTCTCAGCATTTCACCAAAAATTGTATACATTACTTCCCAATCCCACAACCCATAAAATTTCCAAATAGTATTTAAGTTAAATAAATCCAGCAATCTAGAGTTTCAAAACTAAATTGCTTTATCTCAAAAATTCCTAAAACTATTTTGGTACAAGATCCTTCACATTAAAAATAAATTAAGATTTTTTACCTAATGTAAATGTACAATTTATTCTCACTGTCTTCTCTATAACTAGTTAAACTATGTAAGCTCTTGATCCTGTGAGAAAAGGTTTTAACTAGATTAACAGTGTTTATATTGGGATTGTAAAAACATTTTAAAATCCAAATAAAAATGCACTCCAGATATCAGTTTTCATCATCAGGTGCCCACCATGATAGCATATTCTATTATTCAAACCAGTACCAACTGATTGAGAGAGTCTGTGGTCAAAAATCAGAAAATGTTTTGCTAGGAAAACATGCCAGCTGGCTAATATTTGAAGGAAATTCAAAATGTTCAATGCTTTAATTCTCTGATGGACATAAGAAGGATTATATTTCACCAGAATAAAATAAGAAAAAGAGTTACACTTTTTTGGAGCACTTGTATGTTTTATATTTTATCAAAGGTATTTTTATAATTATTCAAAATTTTAAATAAACTTTACAATTTTAACTAACTAGAATTTTTGTTGTTATCCAAAGAGAAAAGCTAGCAGGTCTACCTAAGAGCATTAATTGGCTGTGTGACTTTGGGTAAGTACTGAAATCCCTCTGAGTCAGTTTCCTTGCTTATAACATGAGATTTTACCGGTCAAATAACACCTGATAAATGGTAGGTAATCAAAAATGTCAGTTTCCTTTCTCTTTTCTTATTCAAAGTAAGATAATTGTTAGTTTCTTTGTTGGGGGAGGGAGTTTCTTATTTATGTCACTGTTAAGTCATTTCACATCCGACAGTCAACTACAGGTGCTGTGATTGCTTTTCATGAAGTTATAAAATTAATATTTTTGTCTGTTTCATCCAATGGCATATTCGTAATGTTCTTAAGGCTACTGAAGACAAAAAATAGCCTTCATAATGTAACTGCCAGAAAGATTCAAACTATGAAGCTAATTCCAAAGAAAGGAAAGGCTGGACTATTATTTGCAACCTAACAAAGTCATGTATATTTGCCATATAATGAAGTCAATAGTCCTCAACGAATCTATTCATAGGTTAAATCTTTAGCAGTATAAAACTTCTGGAGAGGTGTCATATGATTTAAGATAAAAATCTTCCCCCTCAGAAAACATGCCAAAAACCTAAGACTCAAAGATTATTTTAACACACTTTTTTTTTCCCCACTAAAGAAATTAAGAAAACAAACATGCCAATTGACAGACTAACAACTGTACTAGGTATTCAAAGTTTTATTGTAGTCGAATTCAGTTACAAGGACTATACTTTAGGGACTCGTTCTCAAACTCCAGAGAATTAAAACTTAAATAGAGCTCAAAGACAGGGTGAAAAATATAGGTGAAGGATATATGCAACCAGCTCTACCCTTTTATTACTATATGCTACGTATGAATGCACCTGCAGGAATACATGCATGTTGTTTCATACTGCTATAACTGACGTGGAAGTCTGAGCACAGCTGGGGATGCCTGAGCCAACTCTGTTCATGGAGAGTTAAAGTAAAACTGAACTGTAACTCACCATCTCCACTGCACACGCGCACACACACACGCAAACTGTGAAAGGCTCAGGTGCGATTCACCGCTCCTCTTCTTTCCCACCCAGAGTCTGAACTTTCACAGTGAATTAAGTGAATTCACAAGAAAATTAACAAGTAGAAAGAGACTATGCGTGAATGCTACATAGACAGACCCTAAAAAAAAACTGACTTGGATTGAATATTTCAATATTTTTTTACAATAAGAACTACATTTTTTTTCAGAGTATATTTCACTTAGCTTGTTGCCTTATTTGTTTTTTTAAAATTATTCATGAACAAACAAACAATAGGAGGTATCTGAACATGGTCTGTTTGATTCCAGAACAATAGCCCTCAAGCACTATACAATAATGATTCTTAATAATTGCCTCCTGGGGCTGGCCCCGTGGCCGAGTGGTTAAGTTCGCGCGCTTCACTGCAGGCGGCCCAGTGTTTCGTTGGTTCGAATCCTGGGCGCGGACATGGCACTGCTCATCAAACCACGCTGAGGCAGCGTCCCACATACCACAACTAGAAGGACCCACAAAGACGAATATACAACTATGTACCGGAGGGGCTTTGGAGAGAAAAAGGAAAAAACAAAATCTTAAAAAAAAAATAATAATAATAATAATAATTGCCTCCTTTCTCTCTCTCTCTCTCTCTCCTTATTTTCCAGTGTATGGTCACCAAAGTTTAATCTTTGGCTAGCCCATTCCATTTACACAATATCCTCAGATTCTATTACTTACGTTAGTACTATTTCTCCAGATTATTAAAGGACAGATTTTAAAAAAATGGTCAGACAGTAAAACTGGCAAGACATGGATATGGATTGCAATGGGAAGCAAAGGAAAGAGACTCTACGATGACGCTTGGGTGTCTAGCTTCAGTGACTGAATGAACAATGGTATAGACCACTGAGATGAAGAATATAAATAGGAAGGTAAGTCAAGGGAGCAAACAATGTGGTCTACTTTTAAAAACTGCTACGTAGACAGTAATGGAACATCAAGGTAAAATATCCAGTGAGTACTTGACCACACCAGAGTAAGACTCAGTAGAGAGGTCTGGCACATAAATACTGGTGAAACAACATAAGGGAAGCATATCCAGTGAAAGTAGGTAAAATGGAGCACACTGGAAGATAGCAACAAAGTGTATGACAGAGTACCTAAAATACATGTAGAACGTTTTCAAAGAGTAAGAAAGAGAAAAAAGCAACTCAACAGTAAAATAAGGAAAGGATATGCACAGACAATTTAAGAAGAGGATACCTAAATGGTCAAATAAGCATTTTAAGAGATGTTTAAATGCTCTAGTTATCAGAAAAATTAAAATAAAATACCACTTTTTCTCTTTTCTAATGAAGTTCAACATCTAATATAGAAAGAGAGATAAGAAAATTGTACTCTCCTACACTGTTGACATAAATGTAAATTCTAACAGCCAAGTTGAAGACCAATATGTATCAAGTGAAATTAAAGATGTACCTATCACGTGACCCACTGGGTATGCGGCCTAGAGAACCTCTTATGCAGTGCACAGATACTTCATTTCAATGCAGAACTGTTTGTAGTACCAAAAAAACCTCAAACAACCCAAAGGTCCATCAATCAACAAAATGTATCAGTCATACAAAGGACGACTTAGAATGAATAAATTAGATCACCATTTCTATCAGTACCTGAAGAGGTCTTGAACACAATGTTGGAGGATAAAAACAAGATGCAGAAAGAATGCATACCATCTGTGATAACTTTAAAATAGACATATTAACAGGGCAATTTGCCCGACTGAAAATGCAGAGAAACCCTTCCTAGTATAAACTACCTAAAACTAAAGAACAAAATAGGAAAATTTTTTAAGCATGACTGAATTGTCCACAAGAGAAGGGAAATTATAAATGGTCAAAAAGGATGAGAAAGTGCCAATACAAAGGGGTAAGCAAATGGTGGGACCTGTGTTCCCCTGGTATCTATTACTCCCTGGCACTCAGAACCTTGTATTTATGGACCCTGGGCACAAAGTTTAGGAAGCAAAACTAAGCATAAGAAAGGTGAGAAGCTGGATCAGAGACCCTCCCTGCCCACCCTGCCATATAAAGCCCAAAGCCCCTAAAGGCTGACACTCTTAGTATGTCCACTAGAAAAAAAATCTGCCAAGCAGAGGCAATGGTGGAGACACTTGCCAGTGAAGAGATTTCTGAAGTAGCCTCAGTATTGTGCTTACCTCTCTGGGTAATCTTCACTTAGATTTTTGCCTAATAATTAATTTCTGCTGAGACAGAGGAGACAAGTCATCTATCTTGGCAGAAATTGGAAGTTTATTCCCTAGAGAGGGTAAAACAGAATCTATGAACTGAAAAGTGCAGCTGAGGACAAGAGTACCTGGATGAAAACCATAGCAATCACACAACAGTTTATCATCTAAATTTTAACACTCCATTCAGGTACCCAACACATTGGCAGCTCAACTTACACCATACATGCAGGAGGAAAGGAGATCCTTTTCTAAGGAAACTGTCCCAAAAGGGATATCCTAAAGATATTGATATCAAAGCTTCCCCAAGTGGCCCGGTCAGATCAGGTTGACGAGCCCTAACCCGCATACAGAGCTTCCAATAAGCAGTGTAGTGCTCTATTCAAATATACGTGGACGGCCAAGGACCATCATCATGAAGAAGTCTCTAATAGGAAGAAAGGAAATCCTTCCCAAATAAAACTAACAAAAACAAGGAGCTTGGAGGAAAAAGATTACGCAAGAAGAAAATCTCAACAAAATATTATTAATAGTTTCAAAGGATAAAATATTATACCCTGGAAGCAAAAATAGTATATTCTAAAAAAGAGAACAAAAAAGAGATATTGGAAATAAAGAGGATGCAGAAAATCCAACAATTATTAAACTAAAAAACTATTAAATGTTGAATATTTTATCAGATATTGGTTGGAATAAAAGTATAACAAGGTGAATGGATAAATAAACTAATACACTCATACAATGGAATATCATTCACTGCTAAAAAGAAATGAGCTACCAAGCCATGAAAAGACATAAAGGAACCTTAAATGAACATTACTAAGTGAAAGAAGCCAATCTGAAAAGGCCATATACTATATGAGTCTAACTACAAGACATTCTGAAAAAGGTCAAACTATGGTGACTATAAAAAGATCAGTGGTTGCCAGGGGTTGGGGAGAGGGAAAGATGAATAGGTGGAGCACAGAGGATTTTTAGGACAGTGAAACTACTCTATATAATACTATAATCATAAATACATGTCATTATACATTTGTCAAAACCCATAGAACATGCAACACTAAGAGTATTTAGGGATGAAGACTCAGAATGTCTGCTACTTACTATCAAATACTTCATACGGAGTAGTAGTAATATGTATGTATGTATATATCTATGTGTACAATAATATGCGTATATGTGTATATGTACTTATATTTATATACACATACAAAAATATAAAAAGGATAATGATGCAAATACGGCAAAATGTTAATAATTGGTGAATCTAAGTGAAGGGCATACAGTTTAGTGTACTATTCTTGCAGTTTTCAGTGTACTAAAACTAAAATTTAGTACTATTCAATATACTAAACTTCTCTGGAAGTTTAACATTTTTTCAAAATAAAAAGTCAAAAAAGTGCCACTTACGTTTTTTTAACATACCTCTGTAAAATAGATGTTTAACAATGACTGTGATTAAAAACAAGGAACAGACAAATTGGACGTGTAACCACCACCACTACCCCTTCAGCTACATGGGCCCTTTTGCATTTTCTCAAACGCTACCTGCAGTCTCCTGCCCCCGGGCCCCTGCATATGCTGCTCCCCAATCCTCCTCTTGTTCCCCACTCCTCTGCCTAGTTAACCCTCTCCTTCCTTTGGGGCTGAGCTTGATCTCTCTGACCAGGTCAACTCCCTTGTCTCATAGTATCTTATATCTCTTCTTCTCACAGATATAATTTTGCATTTATTTGTATTATTCTCTAATTAATGTCTGCCTTACCTACGAGGCAATCAGCTTCATGAAGGCAGGAGCCATGTCTCATTTTGCTCACCATTTTAACCCCAACACTTACCACAATGCCTAGCACATAGTAGAAGCTAAAAAAAAAAAAAAAAGAAAGAAAAAAGAAAAGAAATCTGTGGAAGAGGGAAAAGAGAGAAGAAATTAACATCTATTTAAATAGCTGTATTGGCCTCCCTGCTGTTCCTTGAACATGCCAGGCATACTCTCACCTCAGGCCTGGTAGTTACTTCACACAAAAATTCCCAAAACTAGTTCCTTCTTCTCCTTCTTCAAATCTTTGCCCAAATGGCAACTTCCAGATGAGGCCTTCCTTGACCACCCTATTCAAATTGCAAGAACTCCTCCACCCTAAACTCTATACGCTCCTTAGTTGCATCTGTTTTATTTTTATCTGTAGCATTTATTATGACCTACAAGACTATTTATCTTATTTATTAGAGTATTACCTGTCTCTCCTCACTAGAAGATTAATCCCATAAGAGTAGAGATTTCCTTCAGTGCTATATTCCTAATGCTTAGAATAATGTGTGGCACATAGCAAAAATTCAATAAATACTTGTTGAAAGAATGACTGACTCCATAAGATAGAATTTTGTCAAAATTTTTCTATGTTCAAAATTTATCTTAATATACATTGTTTTAAATATGTAAAACTGCCGCACACAGGAAAGAGTATGTCTTGTTTTAAGATTATATAATTCCTAATTTTTAAGTGTTAAAATATTCTTCCTTTTTCAAAATGATGATTCTAGTAACTATTTTTTCTCAACGGTCTTATTTGCCAACATCAGAAATGTTCAAATCTGTCAATATCTAATATTTTTTTGGAAATTTTACTGGTATACGAAATCTAAAAGTTTGAGAACTATTGACATACAGGATTAAAATAATTCATCAGAATGTCATTTCACTATGTAGCCCAACAGACCCATTGAAACCAATTCCACCATTCAAAAATCTTCTCTAGTCAAGACAGTCTTCTTACCATCTTCAAACCACTATGGTTTTGATCCCTCTGGATGCTTCTTCTAAACTAACTTTTCCCTTCCTTCACCTCTTCTTTAAATCCTTCCCATCCCAAGACTTCCTTTCCTTTAAATACACTATCTAAAATCCAAGAAGCCCTTCCTTACCACTCTAGCCTACATTCATCCTTCTCTCATCTGGATACCTCTAGCCTTTTAGGTAGAGCTCATGCCAAACACCAGTTTGGCCCAAGCCAACTGTGTAAGAATCACTTCAGGGATATTAAAAAAGACAATTTCCGGGGTCTCAGCATAGATTAGGAGAATCAGAATTTCCAAGTTTGGGGCACAGGAGCCAGTATTTTTTAAAAGCCATCCCAAATCATTCTGATTCACAGCCTGGATTAGGAATAATTAATCTATACCAGAGTCTGAAATTAGTCATAAAATACTTTGATTATACTTAAATAAACATTATTTACATGTGCCTTCTAGAACTTTTTAAAGAAGGAAGGAAGTCTTATAAAAATAAAATAATTTTTAACCCTAATAATCATAAGAGGTGCATGTTTATCTTAAGACTTCAAATTAAACAACAAATGTACCTGTCCTATGTTAAATTACACATATAAAGGCCTTAATTTTGAAACAAGTCATTTCAAATCCAATCATAATATTTCAACACAGATATGCAGAGGCATTTGTGAAAACAGTATATTGATATTATCACAGGAGGACAGATAGTACAAAGAAATTAATGTAATTAAGCTTATTCAAATGGGAAGCAACCAAAATTCACTTTAAAAAAAAAAGTTAACATAAATATATTCTACTAACCTGTTTGTTGTTCTCTGCCATGGAAAGCTGCAATGCCAAGAGCATGGAGTCTGCACCACATACAGTAGTTCTCTCAGAGTTACAAAGCGTGTGCCAATTCCTTCTGAACTCTTTAATCATATCCAAGACAGACTTCTGATTAAGCACAGCCATCCTCTTAAAGTAGGACAGAATGAAATGTTAAAGAGTTTTATTTTAATTGGAAATTAATATTTAACATGTGTAAGCAAGTAGAGTTAGAGAAAAATAAGTAGTGAACGAAAGGTCATTTCATATTTACTAAGATTGCTTTTAATTAAATCTAGGAAAACAGAATAATAGAATTTCTGCCCAATCATAGTCTCCTCTCCTTTAGTTTTCTTAAGCCAAATCTTTTGAAATAACAAAATCCAACCTTCAGTCTGAAAATTCATACAAAACAGATATGCAAATTCTGCAAACTTATAATTATAGACACAGACACAGCTAATTAAAGCTGTATTTAAAAAATATTTGTTTTGAGACAGATGGTAATATCTGTGGTAGATTGCAAAAAAAAAAGCCAATTTCCTCACATCCCTATATTGTCCCAAAAGAGGTGGTCTATTTTTTCCACCCCTTTGAATCTGGGTCAGTCTTGTGACTTGATTTGACTAATAGAATGTGGCAACAATGGCATCATGGGAGTTCTGAGCCTGGACCTCAAAAGGCCTGTGCAAAAGAGTTAATACAGCAGACCTCATTGCTGTCCTTTGAAAGGCCTGCTTACAAGGTTGGCCATTGGCCGGCAACTGGGAACTTAGATTTCAGGAGGGTTTCCAGCAAGAGAGGCTCACTGTGCCTAAACTGTTGGTACAAACGATATAGTTTATACTGAACACAAGCTTTCCTTCTGAATCTGGATTTTGGAACATAGACAGAAGATGCCTACATGTTCAGCCTCCAGTAAAAACCCTGGACACTGAGTCTCTAAAGAGCTTCCTGGATAGACAACATTTCATGTGTTGTCACAACTTGTTGCTGGAGGAACATGTCCTGTGTGACTCCACTAAGAAAGGACTTTTGGAAGCTAGCACCTGATCTCTCCTGGACTTTGCCCTATATACTTACTTCTTTTGCCAATTTTGCTTAGTATCTTTTTGCTCCTATAAATTATAGCCATGAGTAGGACTACATGCTGAGTACTCTGAGTTCTCTTAACAAATCATCCAACCTGGGGGTGGTTTTGGAGGCCTCCTGACATAAGGCCTTGCAGATTTAGCTTTTACTCTCTTGGTACTCTCATACTGCCATATGAAGAGGTTCGAGCTAGCCTGCAGGACAGGCTATATGGAGGAGAACAAAGGTGCTCCAGGAGCATACCAACTCACAGACACGCGAGTGAGGATATCTTAGACTATCTGGCCCCAATCAACCTGCCAGATGAACTGGACACACATGAGTGATTCCAGGCAAGATCAGCAAAACCACCTAGCTGAGTCCAGCCCAAACTGCTGATCTACAGAATCATAAGCAGATAAAATAGCTGTTTTTAAGCCACTAAGTTTCAGGGTGGTTTGCGGTTTATTATACAGCAAGAGATAACCAATACAATAGCCAATATTTAGGAGCTTTCTTGGTGCCAGATACTTTTCAAAACCTTAATATTTATTACCTCATTCAATCTTCACAAGAGCCTGAGAAGGAAGTCTATTATTATCCTCATTTTACATCGGAAGAAAGTGATGCCCCAAGTCACTCAGCTAGCAAATGGCCAAACAGACCGAAACCCACGATGCCTAACTCCATAAGCTGTGCTCTTAAATCACTATATTACATACTCTTATCCTGATAGACAAAAAGCTTTTCAAAATAATTGGATGCAGTTCCAACGTTTTACATACCCAAGCCTATGTAAGGCAGCCAATTCCTTTCTCTGAGTTTATAGACACGCCTGCTAAAAGTTTTTTTCCTACTTTGTTTTAAGTACCCCAGTCTCTAACATATTCACGTCATTATCTTATTTTGAGTACTTTACTGTACACATCCCATTTACTTACTCCTTGTTATCTTTTTCTTCTTTTTTTATGCAGCATAAACAGAATCCCAGATGTTTACCAGGCATCTTGGGTTTATATGATCAAGAAAATGGGCATATGCCATTTACAAAATAACAATTTATAGACATAATCAGTGATGCAATTTAAAGAAACAGGTAGAAGACTGTAAATTAAAATATCTACATAAAGACAAATCCTAGTAAATAGTTAAGAGTTAGATTTCTCTTATCACCCTCCTCTCTTAAAAGGAAAATGAAAAGAAAGTGAAGAAGGAAAGCTTCAATGATATGATCAGTTTGCCTGAAATAAATCTTTAGTAGTAAATTATTTACTGGTACTATTTAAAAGCACCATGAGTTCAGATTGCTAAGAATGAAGACCGGTCTGGAATTAGACTGTTCTAAATCCTGGCTCCACCACTTACTAGCTACGAGATCTTTGCCAACTTACGTCACCTCTCCCTGCCTCGGCTTCCTGGTACTGAAAATGAAAATAATAGTTCCTATCTCATGGGGTTTTGTGAAAAGTAAATGACACAAATACAAGTTAAGTTTTTAGAACAGTGCCTGGCACATATAAAAGCCAACATTCTCATCTAGAGGTCGGCATACTCTTTGGAAAGAGCCAAATAGTAAATACTTGAGGCGTGCAGGCCATAAGATCTCTGTCACAACTACTCAACTTGACCTTGCGGTGTGAAAATAGCCACAGACAATACACAAACAAATGAGCGTAGCTGTGCTTTAAGAACTGAACTTTGAATTTCATATAATTTTCAAGTCACAAAATATTATTCTTCTTTCAGTTTTTTTCAACCATTCAAACATACAAAATCCATTCTTAGCTCAGGAACTGGCTGCACAAAAACAGGCAGTGCCACTGGTTTGCCAACCCTGGTCTAGTCTCGGCTCCAGTAGCTAGCTGGCTGTGTGAGCTAGGCAATAAGCTTTATACCTGACTGCCTAGGTGGAGGTATCACCACACTGAAAACAGAAATAACACCTTCCAGCCAGTGACAAGAATCAACGAGACAATGAATATGCAAGCACTTTGAATGTCAGGCTGCACTATACAAAAACAGTAGTAGAAGGCAGCAGTAATTATAAACATTTGTTTTAAAAAACTGGATTCCAAGCTGCGCTGGAGCAAAAATTACGAGACAGAAAATTGTCACTGGGGACGCAATGCGAAATGGTTAAAAGAATTACACTTTTGAGTCAAACAGACCAGGGTCCATATCCAGGCCCCTCTATTTATTAGCTGTATGCCCTTTAGCATTTAAAATCTCTGATGAGCATAAATTTCCTCATTTACGAAACCGGGAAGATATCTCCTGCTCGTGTAATTATGAGACATTGGTTAGACAAGTAAATAACCCACCTACTGGTGGGCATTTAATAGGTGCTCAGCAAAAAATGGCAGTTGTTGCTGCTGTCATTGTCGGAATGCAGGTTCTAACTGACCCTTGGGAGGATATAAAAGGGAGAGGGCGAAAGCAGTGGAATTGGAGTCTGCGTATGTCTTGGGACTAGAACCCTGGTTTCCTAAGTAGGGCTCTATGGGCCTGTCTTGCGGTCTGCTGATGATCCCTCAGGACCTTCCAGCTCCATCCATCACTAGATACAGTGACTCTGTTCAACACCCCCAGACCCAGCCAAGCTCCAGCGCGAAACCACTGCACAAATTAATAACCTAAACGGTCACATGGCACTTTGCTGTCACCTAAAAACCCTCCCAAGCCGCAGCTTAAATCACCACTTCAAGTGTAACAGGCGGCCGAGGAAGAGATGAGACTCACCTAGCTCGAGAGAGACACGGGAGGCACAGACTGCACCGAAGAAAAGTCCTGCCCGGCTGCAGGACAGCCGCTGTTCGAGTCGTCGCAGGTTACATTTTAAATCTCGCGGGAGGGCCCGTGAGCCAATCGCCGCTCCCGCCCTCTGACCCGGAAGCAGAGCCGGCGCACCCCCGCGGCAGTCCCCAGCAGAGACCAGCTGCCTCCTGGCTGCTTCCCGGTGTCCTCTGGTGCGTACCGTGCGGGAGCCCAAGGGGCCACGTCGCTTTGCTGCCAGCCGCCCCGCTTTCCCACCCTATCCTCCTCTCTCCCGGTGGTTCCCCACCCCTCTTCACTCTCATCTCGCGCTCGGAGAGGAGTAGCAAGGTCTCGCGGGACCTGCTTAGTAATGGGAGAGGTATCGGGGCTCTATGCAGGGACTTGTGTTCCCTCCCTCTTCTGCCCTTCCAGCGTTAGAGGGGCAAGTTCAGCCCGCTGTGTACAGTGAGACCCTAAGAATGCAGTAAGACTGGGCATTACTTTAATCAGAGCAATGGGGGACCGAGTTTCCTGACCTCGAATCTTTTGCTCTTCCCATACCGCTGTGCCTCCAAGGGCGTCTCACCTGCTGGTCACCCTTAACAAATGTCCAGTCTCGGATGCCCACTCGTAAGGTTACTAGGTTATAGGCCCCCTGAGCTGGGACTCATCTCATCTGATTCTCAGTATGTGTTTGTTACCAAGCCCAACTGGTTTCAGGACAACTCTTGCGTCCAATTAAAATTTTAAAAGACCTCTTTAGAATCCATAAGTCTTACCTGAGAGTGCTACTTCCACAGTGCGCACCGGGCCTTGACAGGTTAAAGTTTTGTGCTTGGTTTTGTGAATATTATTTTTGTATCACACGTTTTGGCACTCCTTCTTCCACATCCTGTATTTTGTACCTGCTTGTCTTATAGCACTTTTCATGCTGAATCATAACTATCCCTGGAACGTGATCTCCTTCAAGGTAGGGGGGGTGTGTTTTTCTGCTCTAGCACTGGTGTCCAACACATAGTGAAGTCTTTTCAAATTCTGGCTCATCTTATGAGTTTGGCAAGCTGGTTAACCTCCTGAAGTCTCCATTTCTTCATCTGTAAAATGGGGACCATAGGTAGTACCTCCCTCCTAGCTTTGTGCAAATATTAAGCATGATAATGTTGGTAAAATGCTTAACATGGCCCCTGCAAATAGTGGTGCCTAAATGTTAACTGTCACTAATTTTTTATGAATATATTTACTCTTAAAGTAATTCCATCTTCAAGGACTCACTGTATCTTTTAGATAATCTAAACAGAATTTTATGGTAATTTATTCTGCAGGTATCATTCACAAAGTATTTAACTTATTTAATTTAATTAAAAATTTAATAAAAATATTTTAATTTAGTAAAAAATACTTTAAATTTTTTTGAGCTGTGATGTTTGCAATGCCCCATCCTTATTTTGAGTCATTTGCTGAAAGTGACTAACACCAACGGTTTCTGTCTAACTGTGTATGTGCTGTAATCCACAGTTTCGTGACCTTGTCCAGTAGAAGGCTATTTAATTTTTACAACTGCTCAAGTCTTGGCATACAAGATGAAGCAAGATGCCACAAGAAATGCTGCCTACACTGTTGATTGTGAAGATTATGTGCATGTGGTAGAATTTAATCCTTTTGAGAGTGGAGATTCAGGAAACCTAATTGCCTATGGTGGCAATAATTACGTGGTCGTTGGCACGTGTACATTTCAGGTTAGTGTACAAAACTGTAGTGAATGACTGAAGATATTTCACTGATAAGAAACCATACAAACTTTACTAAATTTTGGCTAATCTTTAAAAGTATATTGAGTTTGAATGTAAAAAAAAAAAAGACAGGAAGAACTACAGAGAAAGATATTTCTAGTAATATGTGCCTGAGATTTATACAAACATTAAATAGTAAAAAAAGAATATAAGGATTCTCTTTTGCGTCATGATTAGAAATGCAATATTCTGGTAATTGAATTTTATGATTAACTGAACATTGGTATGTACAGGGAAAACACCAATTAAAGAGATCTAATTAATTTCTTAAACCAGCTTTTCTACATTCCTCTTTGACATAGAAAATAAGCTAAGATTGAGAGCCTGAAAAATGATCCTCCAGGAGATTTTATAGCTGTCATGATATTCAGCTTTTCTATTAATATGCTGTCATACTTTTTATACATCTAAAGCATACATCTAGCATGTACAAAGTATGGGATCATATTAATTGAACAGGCAGTTTAGTATAGTCATTAAGACAATGAAATCTGGAGCTAAAATGCCTAGCTTTTTACTCTTGCCTGGCCTTTACCACTTAATAACTATATGACTTTGAGCAGGTACTTAACCACTTTTGTATAAAAATGAGGAAAATAATACTTAATAGGTTTTTGTGAGAGTGTAATGAGTTAGTACATGTAATGTTCCTGGAAGGCATCTGGCACATTTAATACATATATATGTTTTAGCTGTCACTGACTTGGTCAGTGGTGGCACTCAGGTGCAACCCCATATTTAATCACCAAGGTAAGATTGCTTTGTGGTGAGCACGCACCATACTTTCTCACAGGAAGGGTAGGTCTACATGTAAGAGAGACTTTGAACAATGAGAGTTCAACCCCAAGAATCTGGTTGGTCCTTTGCGTACCGGAATACTATTCATAGAACAATACTTCTTAGATTAATCAAGGAAATAATTTCTCAGTCACCAATTTTCAAAGATTTAAAATAACTATCAGTAAAGTGACATTATCATAAACATTATTTCCTCTTTTACTTAAAAAGCAGTTCAGTATCTTACAGCATTTTGACATCATAACTGCAATTTAGCATTTTACAGTGCAGTAAATAAATAAAGTTTTACAAAATTAGACTGCATGTATGTTTATCCTAAGGGGAAAATATGAATTAAAGGCTTTGGTTTGTTGGTATCTGAGTAGAATAAAAGAGCTTTGACATTATCCCAAATTGTCTCTTAGAGTTGGGGGAGGAATTTCTCGCTTTTAGTCTAAACATGACCCTCAGCCTGGCTTCAGCTGGACTGCGAGGTTAGCATCATAAAAAGTCACAGGATTAAGTGAAATAATACAGCACACTCTTGAAAAAGACTAAGGGGAAACCATATTTCTAATGCAGGCTACTAACTTACAGAAAAATAAAGCATCCCCCTACAGGTGAAACTAACTTTTTACTTCATGACTTTTAAAATTAATAGCTGTGAATGTAGAATTGTGTTCAAAAATACTGAAATAAATACGCTTTATCTCTGGTTTATGTTCAACTAAGGAACGTTGAGGGAGAAAGTCAAGAAGGGAGAAAAAAATTGGGAAAAAAGAAAGGCAGAGGTGATGGGTGGCAGAGAGAGAAAATGGGAGCAAAAGAGGGAAAAATGACAAAATGAGAAAAAACTAGCAAAAACATTTGTATTGTTCCGTTGTGGTTTGTAGTCGTATGGGTTGTCCCTGTTGATCCTCAGACCTGTGAGAATGGCAGTGTAGGTCTTATCCTCAAATTACATAAGGAAAGAATTGGATTTTTATTAATTTCACAAGTAGTGAACACAAATTGTATTCTGTGCCAAATACTGGAGATACAGTCGAACAACTCTCCCTGTCCTCGTGGGGTTTCCGTTCTACTTCAAAGAAGTGCAGGGATTTGTATGACTAGTAAATGAGAAAACAAGGTCTAGACTCTTTGAACCCCTATTCTTTTCCTTCTATGCTGCTATTCAGATGGATTGACGCTGTAGTTCAAACAGTTATGGAGGAGAATTGAGTTCCAATAATTTGCCCTTGGGGATTCAGAATAAATTATTGCCTCCCTTTGAAGTTATTTTTTATCTACTTAAATATGATTAAATATTGTTCCTGTTCTCTCATGCTAGAACCTTGAAGTTCCATAGCACTTTGAGAGAAAACTAAGTCTTGAGAGAAAACTAAGTAGAGGTCAGTTGAATTGAAAGATTTTCACCTTTCTGTCAGAAAGACAATCCTCATTCTGCGACTATTAGGAAAACACTGTTGATATGGTGAATTTGAATATCAACAAAGCATTTTTCAGAATCTCATGGTGTTCTTTTGAATATGATGGAAATTTGAGCTGAATGATATTACTGTTGATTGGTGTCATGTATTTGTCAAATATTCATTAAGTGCAGATCAGCTACTGGGAACTAGTAATGCATCCATTAAAAAAGCAAGGACCCTGGAGCCAGTCCTGTGGCCCAGCGGTTAAAGTTCCCCTTCAGTGGCTCAGGTGTGTGGGTTCGAATCCCAGGTGCAGACCTGCACTGCTCATCAGCCATGCTGTGGAGGTATCCCACATACAAAGTAGAGAAGGATTGGCGCAGGTGTTAGCTCAGAGCAAACTTTCCTCAGCAAAAAACAAGCAGGCATCCTGCCTTCAAGGAGGTGTTTAAATGTAAAGCAATGCAATAAGAAAACAGCTTTAAAAGTCTTATGTGTAAAGGGCAGAGAGAGCATGAAGGTTTCTGAGTCTTTGAAAAGTCGTCAATAATGAATCAAGGCCTCTGCTGGGACTTGGATGAGAACACTTGATTTAGGCAAGTGCATTCAATTTATATAGAACATGAAACAGAAGGATACCTAATGCTTGGATGACAGACTTCATTTAACAAATATTTATTGAGCACCTGTTGGGTGCCAGACTGTGTGCTCAGCATCCAAATATTGTTTAATAGATTGGATTAATGGGCCAAGTTGAACAAGCTAAAATTTAATAAAGATGAATATAAAGTCTTAAAATGGTAGACTGCTAGAGCTACCAGGGAGAATTGTGACTTACGGTTTTTAGTCACCTGGATGTTCACCAGAATCAGTGCAATGATTAAACTACCAAAGGGAGCTAGTTCAGTGCTGTCCAATAGAAATATAATGTGAGCCACAAATATAAATTTAAGTGCTGTAGTAACCACATTATGAAAAATAAAAAGCAGATGAAATTAATTTTAATAATATATTCAGCATATCCAAAATATTTTATATGTAACCAATATAAAAATTATTAATGAGCTATTTTGTATTCTTTTTATACAATCTGGTGTGCATTTGGCACTTTATAAAGTGTAT